CTCTGTTACCTCTCTGGGTCTCTTTTTCTGGAGGCCCAGGCCATGCCTCCTAAGCAGAGCCTGCCAGACACCATGAGGTGCTAAGTGGCCCTTCCTATGGATACTTATAGCATGTGAACATTTCTCCATTATGAACAGGTAACATACTTGCATTAGAATTATTTAGTCTCCTCCATCGGACGCCGATTCTTTGAGGACTCAGATCACATCTGTTTCACCTCCATATGTCTATCATCTAGACAATGAATCTCAACATTTTTTCAGATCAATGAATTAGTGAATGACTACAACTTGATTCTCAGGGGTTAACTTATGCCCAGAAAGTTCTAGTTTAAACTGGGTTCGCAGCCCTTCCAAAGTGGGGCGCCAAATTCTTCAATTCTGAGTTCTTCTCTTATTGGGTAGTGGAAAGGCTCAAGTATAGGTGATACAACTCCTTTCCTGGCACCAACTCAGAGAGGAGGATGGGAGTTACCGTACTGATGTTCAAATGGGGGACAACAGACCAAATTTCATATTCACAGGCTCACCACAGATTACCAACTGCAATACAACCTGCTACTACAGGGGGATTCCCATCAAAGAAGTTATGCCAAAATTTGATCATGAGGTTTTTCTACGTGAAGGGAGCAAAGGGGGTGTCTGGGGTTTGTCCATGAGGATCTGGGGAGGGCTCCAACCTCATGAACCAGCTGTGGGCCAGAGAACGCTTGCTCAGCTCATCAGCACCTGCTGCTTACAGTGACCATTTCATCCAACAGACTGGCCATGAACGAGATGATGGGATCAGCGGGTTTATGACCCAGAGAGCTTTGCTCATCATTAACATGAGCTACGTCCTGTTCAGGAACCATTCCTCTTGTTGAAGAAACATTGCAATGTAATATGATAAACATTTCGCCATCACGAGTGGAGATTTACCCAGAAAGATCTGCACAAAGGAGGCTGCATTTTGCATGAGTCACGTGCCGGGGAGGGACAGGTAGCACTAAAAACTAGTCCCACTTGAGCCTTCGAGTCATCATGGCATATTTGCCTGCTTCACTCTAAACCTCAAAGGCCTCTGATGTCTGGCTTTCATTGTTTAAGCTCCCTCCTCCTTTTCAAGAGTGGAATTATCCGTTTATAATACCAGACATTACTATATACCTTGGAATTGAGTAGAGCACAAGTGTGTATATCTACTTTGGGGGATTTGGTGAGTTTCCTCTCTACCTTCAAGTCAAATTATGGTCTCCCTTGATCTCTGAAATCATGTATCTCAGCCTCCAGGAAGTTGGAAAATGGCAGCCAGAGGGAAGGCAAGCGAGTCACATCACTTTGGCTGATGTGAGGGAAGTGTAGCCCTGGAAACTCCACACAAACTCAGAAAGAGAACGGTACGTCCCCTACCTCCCACACGTCCACCTCATCTGTTCTCTTGTACAAGCACAAACAAGACACAGCAGTTTAGTGTGCTGTTACTGAAAGAGTGAGTAATGGGCTTCTAGGAAAGAGATTGGTGGTGGTGGCTAAGGCGAGCTCATGAGGTTGTTGCACTGATAGAGAACCAAAAGGAGGAGGGCAGCAGCCATGTGCTCGCCTTGATCTGCATTTAATGGGCTGTGGCTTTCAAAAGAAAACAGCCAACACCCTCATCCTACTCCCCTAAGCTTTTTAAAAGGCACAGTGAAGTCCTTACCTACCATCACTGACAGGATGTTGGAAAACCAAAGCTACTAGTGTTACCTTGGGAACCCTTTTGGGGGTCTGGTCTTTCTTCCCCTGTCCTTTGTCTGCAAACTCCTCTGAACCAGGGAGATTCCTGGCTGGTCTCATATAACCAGAAGGCCTTTTCCTTCAGACTTCTCCTTCCTCGGCAAAACTGTGAAAGAATTCTGCTCTTTGAAAGCTGCTCTTCTGGTCTCACACTCTAACCTTAACAACTGTAGAGAAGCTGACAGAACCTGTTCCCATAAAGCAAACACAATCCCTCCCATTTACTGGTATAGCTCAGAGTACGTTCAGCCTACGATTCCTTCTGGCACCTGATCTGGAGGAAGGCAGCATGGAAAGAACCTTGGACTTGCTCTCAACAAGAGCTTCCACTTACGGGCTATGAAACTATGGGCAAGCTACTTTATTTCTCTGAACCTCAGTTTCCCCAATTTCTAAAGTATTTCTTCCTACCTATAGGGGTATTGTGGCAAATCAAGCAACTCCTCAAAGTGTCTAGCATAAAACGTGTGCTGAATACATGCAGTGCACACTGTGAGGCCTAAATTGCATCTGCCTCTTTCCTGCACAGGGCCTGAGTAGCAGTACTTTTCCCCATTCCCTTAATGTCATTTCTCAGGCCTCAGAGTAAGTTTCCTTCCCTTCCCAGTATCTCCCCAGAATGTAACCTTCCCCTCTTCCCTCACAACTAACCCTCAGCACATCCCCTTTATCCAGTCTCCCCGCCCCTTACTTGACCTTCCTCCAGCACCATCTCCTGGGCCAGAGTTCTTCCACATGCTGACTTTAGGAACCTCTTTTATTGTTAAGGCTCCATTCCCAAAATAGGAATGTCTGCTAAAAACTGCGTATGGCCCTTTGGAAGCCAAGAGACACATTGCCTTTCAGTCTATCTTCTGTTATATGCCATGATGCCTGCTGACCTCTGATGAAACTAGTTTTTATGGTGTTACATCATCTCTATAGAAACTACGTTCTTTCTCCATTATTAGTCTGTTTCCTCATCTGTAAACCTAAAAATACTTACCTCACAGGCTTGTTGTGAGGATTATTTTAGTCAGGTATGCAAAGGGCTAAGCACAGGGCTTGGCCCTCTGCTTTAAGTGCCCAACAAAAGGGAGCTATTATTTTTGCCTTTGTATTGACTTGCACCTTCCCACCTTCTGATGCCTCACTTCAATTTTCCCAACCTCCCCCCCAAACTGTTGATAGTCCCTGCAGCAAGAAAAGGGTTAATCTCTGAGTGTTCTTAACAAGAGAGACCCACAGAGGATTAACAGCTCCACTTCAGTGACTACCCTAAAATAGCTTTTATCCCTCCTGCCCAAGAGCTACTTGGGGATCTGAAGAACTGGATTCAACACCTGCCGAAGAGGAAACACACCCACCCAGGAACTGTTCCTTTGGGTGGACAGAACCTTCCCTTAAGTGGAACCCAAAATAGCAACTGGGAAACTATAAATAGACTTTGAGAGAGAGAGAGAAAGATCCTGACCTGAGCACCAGAAACAAATCCAAGACACACTGGCTGGAAAACAGTGGGAAGGAAACGGGGAAGGGAATAGCTGCTCCCCCCACCCCACCCCACCCCCGCAACACACACACACACACACACACACACACAATGCAGAGTGGTAGGAGAATTAAATTACAGGGAGGCTGGAGAGTCTCAAGGACTTGCATCATTCCAAGAGACATCAAACAGGATTAACTGGGGTTGGATTTACTCTGGGTCAGATAGTTCTTCTGCCATTGTAGACAAGCCCTCTTCGGGGTCCCTTTAATTCATTATTTCCTCTGATTCCCACTGCCTCCCACTCCTGAGGCTGCTCTGAGCAAATGGCTGCTACTCACCACAGCCCCACTTTTATGGGGAGAACACCTGACTAGACAGCCCCCCACTGTCACTCCACCTGGTGGCCTCCTCCCCTTGGGTGGAGGGGGACATGAGAAATTCAAGGCCAGCTCAGACTCCATCAGTTCCAGGCTGACAGGTGGAAAAACACACAAGCCAGTGGACAGGCTACACCTGCAGGTGAAAACGCCAACAGCTTCCCCGATGCAGCTGTCCCTTATCCTCTGCCTTATAGGTCCCTTTTCCCTACCAAGCTGGAGTCACAGCCTGGCTCCCAAGCCAGCTTCTGGACCACCCCACTGGGTGGTAGGAAAGGCAATAAATTCCATTGGGGTTAAGAGAGATGGGAGTGAATGGCAGATCAAGAGCAGTTCTGGAGGGGGGTCTCAGAGATGGTGAAGAAGGGCAAGTATCGCCAGGATTGGGAGCGAATTATCCCAGTCTTTAAGGCATGCCTTAAAGAACGAGAGAAGGGTCCTAAGGGCTAGAGGGCTCCAGGGGCTGAGGACAGTAAGAAAAGAATTCTCTGAGTTTCATGAGACTCTCAGAATGGGGATCCAGACCCATGTCTACGGTTTGGTGGTATCGTCACTGAGAAGGCAAATATAGGTAGGGCTTATTGGGGGCTCTCCAGACCCAAGAATTTGAGGGAAGCCTCCAAAAAGGTTATGCAGGTCTGAGAAATGAAACAGAGAGTAATGAAGGGATTCTATGGAGTGGAAAAGAAGGGGGTATGTGGGTCTGAGTAGGCGTGTCCGAGGGGAGGGAGCAGGTGCAGCTTATCTGAGTCCCCCAGACCCGGGTCCCGGTTCGGTCAGCAACGCGTTATCTGGGTCTCCAGGGAGCCTGAGGGTCGGGAGTGGGGGACCCTCAGGGCTGAGTCTCTAGGTTTTTGGAGGGAGGGGACCAGTAGGGCTTATTCGGGTCCCTCAGACCTAGGTATCAGGTTCAGGGGTAGTTTTTGTCACCCTGGGGCGTATCTGGGCCCGGGTTGACGCCAGGGCCCCCAGTCCGGGGGGTAGGCGACTGCGCTGAGGGGCCTGAGATAAGGGGCTCCGCCGCTCCAGGTGCCGGGCGCGCGGGCGCAACGAGACTGCTCCCCTCCCCGCTCCCCGCCGTCTCCCGGGGCCCTCGCCAGCACTCACCGCGCTCGGGGCCCCGCGCTGCGGGCCGGGCCGCGCTCCGGCTCAGCCAGGCCCGCTCAGGCCCCGGTAGTGGCGGCGGTCGGGCCATTGTGCGGTGCATTGTGGGAGCCGCGCGAGCGGGCGCTCCGGCTGTGGTGGGGGCGGTGCCGCGGGTTCTCTATGGTCCCGCCCGCCCGCGGGCTAGAGCGGCCCGGACGGTGCGCGGGCGGCGCGCGGGGATCGCCGGGAGCGGGGCGGACGCTCGCGTCCCTCCTTCCTTCTCAGCCTCCGCTCAGCGGCCGGACATGGGCGCCGCCGCGTGGGCTTCGTTGCCTCTGCCGCCGCGCCTGTCCCTTCTCCTGCAGCTTTTGCTGCTCTCTGGGCTGCCCGCGGGCTCCTGGGACCCGGCTGGTTATCTGCTCTACTGTCCCTGCATGGGTAAGGCCTCCCGAGCCCTCTGCTCAGATCGGGAAACTGAGGCCGGGAAAGGAGGAGCCACTCCTCCCAGGCGTCTTTAACAGGTCCAGGAGCGAACCCCAATGTTGAGGCAAGGCCTACTCCTCTCAGTCCCAATTGCAAGGGCACTGAGGGGGGTCCCGGTGTCCAACCTTCCATTTTACAGATGAGAAAACTGAGGCCGAGAGCAATTATGTATTTTGCCTGAGACCCTGCAGTTAGTGATGGACGGAGGTGCGGTCTAAGCCAGCCCTAAATCTAGTAATTGAGTGAGTGGGGAGGACTTCATGTTACCCACGTTGGGTCCGGGAAGTCTTTAATTCATTCAACAAATATTTATGGGGTACCTACTTTATGCTGGGCTGGCGATACCAATGAATAAAAAAGCAAAACACCTTGTCTGTAGACCCTTCGTTTTAGTTGGGTGGAGACAAACAATAAAAGAGAAACATAATAAATTACATAGTATTGGTGGAAAAATAAACTTGAGCAGAGTAAGGCAGAATCTAAGGGCTAGTTGAGGGTGACAGTTGAAATGGAGCAGTAGGTCATCATTGTAAAAAGTCATGACAGCCCCACGCCTGGTCCTGTGTCATTCCCATGATCTGGTGTGGATCAGACTGTTGTGATCCGGGAGGTTTTCATTGACTGATTTTGGGAAGTAGATTCCTAGCCCTTTCATGCTAGTCTGTCTTAGTCTGAAAACTCTACTGTAACCTGTTCTGTATCACCACAACATGCAAACCACCACGACCAGATAGTGTTGGTCAAGGATCAAACCTGGGTCGCCTGCATGGAAGGCGAGAATTCTACCACTGAACCGCCACTGCCCCTGCCATTCCTTCTTGAAACCCTCCAATGGCTTTCAGTTTCCTGACCATGGCCTTCAGGGCACTGCATGGTTTGGCCCTTGCCAGTCATCTACATCTTGGCTTCCACCCCTGCTTCCCCAGCTGCAGCCATACAGATCTCTTTTCTGTTCTTTAGACATTCTTAGGTCCTCCAGCTTCTTCTATCACACGGCTATTTCCTCTGCCTGAAATACCTGCTCCTTCACCTCTACCTAACCATCTCCTTCCCATCCTTTGGATCTCAATTTAAATGTCACCATAAAGCGCTTGCCTGACCTTAACCCAAGTAACTGCCTCCTGAGTATTCTTCATCACCAAACTGTTTTCATTTCTTGCAAATGTCAATTTTTTTCCCCTATATGTTTATTTCTTTACACGTTTACTGTCTCCAACTAGGCTGTGAGTGCCATGAGGGCAGAGTCCTTGTCCTTCTTCCTCACTCCTGCATCCCAGCACCTAATACAGAGCCTGGCATAGTGTGGCTCTCAATATTTGTGAGATGAATGACTGGATGCCATGCTGCAGTTTCATAAAGAATCAGACAGCGTCCCTGCCCCTGAGGCATTCATATGCAGGGAAGTAGCCTGTGCAAAGACCAGGAAGTGGGCAAGCACATTCAAGGAAAAGTGAAGAACCATAAGTAACTCAGATCCAAGGCTGGAGGCAGAAGAGGTGGAGTGGATACTACAGAGGCTTGGGGAAAGGGTCCCAGTGAATGAAGCCCTGGAGTTCCCTCTTCATTTGCAAGTGGATGGAGGTGGAGGTGGAAGGGACTTCTTGGCTGAGGGGCAGTAAGAGCAAAGGCATGGGATGGGGTGGAGAGTAGAGAGCGTGTTTGGGAAACAGCAACCTACAGTGAGCTGAAGGGACAGGGCCGAAAGGGCCTTGAATGTCAGACCCAGGAGTCCCGACTTGATCCCATGCTTCCAGCTACCTTGACTCTCCTTGCTCTCCTGGCCTTCCCTACCCCTGACTAACCTTTCTGAGGTCAGCATAGCCCAGGCCCTCAATGCCTCAGGCCTCACCTCACACTCATTGTACCATTTCCAGGGCGCTTTGGGAACCAGGCCGATCACTTCTTGGGCTCTTTGGCATTTGCAAAACTGTTGAACCGAACCCTGGCTGTACCCCCCTGGATTGAGTACCAGCATCACAAGCCTCCCTTCACCAATGTGAGTACCACCCACTGACCTGAGCTCCTGTCCATCCTTCTCCAATTCTCACCATTGCTTTACCCCCAGCTCTTTCTCTGGGCTTTATCTCTCACTCCCTCCTGCTTGCCCTATCCCCACCCAGAAATGACTTCCTTGGCATAACAATGGCTAACATTTATCCAGCACCTGCCCTATGAGGCAAGTAGGCTATTGTCAGTTTTGAAGGAGAGACAGAGGCACAGGTTAGTTTATGGCCCAGGTCCACCTCTCACCCCATCACTCTTTGACCAATAGGCAGCACATAGCCGGAAACCAGCCAAGAGTGGAAATGGAGGCTTTAGGTTCAGATTATTGGCTCTACTTCCTTGCTTTCTATGAATTACTCAACTTGCCCTCATTGGGCTCCTTCTTCCCCACTGTGACCGTTCTCACTGAGGTCACTAGACGCCTTGGACTTGCCAAATCCAGGGGTCATATCACGGTTCTTATCTCACCTGACTTCCCAGTGGCTTTGGCCTCTTGATCCTCTCTCCTTCCTGGACTTATCTCCTCCTCAAGCTTCCAAGACAGCCCCTGCTCCTGCTTCAGCTCTGACTGCTCAGCAGTTTGGAGTCCACAGGTGGTAGGAGCGGTTAACACGCTCAGCTGCTTATCAAGTGATTGGAGGTTCGAGTCCACCAATACGTGCCTCGGAAGGCCAGGAAATCTACTTCCAAAAACTCAGCCATTGAAAATGCTTTGCTATACTGGGAGACTCTGCTTTCTCCATCTGCTGTTTAAATGCTAGTGTTTCTCTGTTTTCTTTTTAGCTATGCGATCTCAGGTGAGTTATCTGGATTCTATATGCATTGGTTTCTTTATAAGTCAATTGAAAATGGCTATGTTCCTACCTCTTAGAATCAAAATGAGCAAATAAATCCATGTCGGGCTGAGTACAGTGCCTGGTGCTGAGACAGCACTCAGTAGATAAAAGTCCTAAAAGCTTTACTCCATCCATGTTATTAAGGCGAGCTATACTCTGAGGAGGCAGCTCTTCCCTAGTCGTATTTTGAGTGCTTTCCAACCTCAGGGGCTCATCTTCTGGCACTATATCAGACAGTGTTTCAGGGATGTTCATAAGTTTTCTGGTAATATATCAGACCGTGCATGTTTCAGTGCTGTTCATAAGGTTTTCACTGGCCAGTTCTTTAGTGGATGATCCCTTCCTTCTTCCAATTCTTCTTAGTCTGGGAGTTCCACTGAAACCTGTCCTCCATGAGTGACCCTGCTGGTATTAGAAATACCAGTGGGAAAGCCTCCAGCCGTACTACAACATGCAAGCCACCACAGTATGACAAACTGACAGACAAGTAGCAAAGCAAAATCAGACTCACTGCTGTTGAGTCGGATCCGACTCATAGCAACCCCTCTTTGGGTTTTTGAGGCAGCATCACTATGGAGTAGATTGCCCAACCTTCCTTCTGAGGAGTGGCTGGTGGGTTTGAACCACTAGCCTTCTGGTTAGCAGTCAGATGCCTTAGGCACTGTGCCACCAGAGCTCTCGACAAACGAGTATTGGCAATAAATATCAGTTGCTATTATTACCATATTTGCTTTGTTATAAATCCCTGTGGACTCTTGTGTCTTTCACCACTCTCCATGTACCTCCTCTTAAATTTATGTGTGGCCCAGGTTCTCCTGACCTGTGGCCTGTGTTTTGTTTGTTTGTTTGTTTGTTTGTTTGTTTTTTATTGTGATTTGGGTGAAAATTTACAGAGCAAATTCACTTTCCATACAGCAATTCACATACACTTTGTCTCATGACATTGACCACAATTTACCATAATGCTACAGCTCCCCTCCCACTTCCTCCCAATAGTTACCTCTTCCCTATGTCCATCCCTCCATGTACTCCTGCCCCCTGAGCTCTCTCCCTGTGCATAAGCAGCCCTTCTTTCTCCCATGATTGTTCTCTCCAAGAAGTGTATCTACCCAAGGTAAATGTTCAGCTCATATGCTTGTCTTTTATTTGGCTGGAAGCCACAGGTATGGGTTCAATTCCAGACCTGAAGGGCAGCTAGGGGCCATAGTCTCAGTGGTTCCACCAGGCTCTATCAGACCAGCAAACCTGGTCCCCCATCTTTTTTTTTCTCCAAATGATTTTGAGTTTTGTTCCACATTGTTCTCCTTTTCTATCCAGGATCTCATACATAGATCTCCTTCCAAGTGGTTGACAGTGGTAGCCAGGCACCATCTAGTTCTTCTGGTCTACTAGTCATATAGGCTGCAGATTGGATGGTGTACCAGTCGCTAGGACTAATTGTTTCCATGAATTTTTGGTTTCCTTCATTCTTCTTTGCTCTGGACGAGGAGATACCCATCGTCTCATCTAGATGGCAGCTCGTAAGCTTTTAAGATCCCAGTCGCTACTGGAGTGGCCTGTGTTTTTGACTCCTAGACCCTTGAGTCTACTTAGATGTCCCCCAGATATCTCAGATTCACAAAGCCAAAACTGAACTTGGCATCTTTCCACTCAAACCTGTGTTGCTTCCTGTAGTTCCAGCCTTAGTCTTACCTCCGTGAATCTGGGTAACAAGCTGGGAACCTGAAGGTCATCCTGGTGCCTCCCTTTATGTAAGCGCTCAGACCCCACACCCTCTGCTTCGTCCTTCCTTACGTCTGTTAGCTTATCCATGCTTCTCCATCTCTTACTTGCACACATAGAGGTGTTCAGTAAGTATATGCTGAATGAATACCTGAACACATAAAGGACCATTGCAGTAGTCTCCTAATTCCTCTCCCTACCTCTATGTTGTCATCAATATATTCTTTCCTCTGCCACGAGAGTGATCTTTCAAACAGGCAAGTCTCCTATTATTTCTGCTTACAATCCTTTGGCAATACCTCATTGCTAATAGTTAAGGTCTCCAGAGTCTGCTCATTAGAATGTCAGTGGCTCATGCTGAAAGGGCCCAGTGGCTAAATTTGGGAAATTGCTTTCTCCATTCTTCATCCCACCTGCATCCTCAAACTTGTAGATTCCAGTGCACACTAGCATGTTAAAGGCCTCGAGATGTCCCACAGTAAAGAAACCAGCTTACCCCAGCATTTTTCGGGGCTGTTTGTGTGGAGCCTTTTTATCGCAGAATCCTTTAACCACATAAATGAGTGGAACATGCATGCTTGGGAAACACTGACCTATAAGATGAGTCCGAATTTTATTCTATGGTGTTCTAAGAGAAATTTTAAAATCTAGAGAAATACAGCGATTAGTTCAACCATCATCCCCATGCTCACCACTAGAAGTTACCACTTTCACATTGTCTTATCAGTGCATCATCTTTTTTGTTAATAAAAGAAAATACTATGAAGTTAATAAAAGATAAGTTCTCTTTTGGCCCCTCTTGCTAATCCTAGTTTCTTCTTCCCCTTTCGCCTCCTCCCAGAGACAACCAGTATTATGAATTTAGTATATTTGATGTGACTCCTTCCAACTTCTTTCCTATGGCTACTTTGCATAGTAGCCATGAGCATTCTTGTACCCATCTCCTGGTGCAAATTGTAAGTAAGGACTTCTGTCAGGAAAATACCTAAGAGTGGGAGGAGTGCTTTAAATCCTATTAGATACTGCCAGATTGCATTCCAAAGTAGTTGTTCCCAAACAGTCCAGCCTTGCATGAGAGTGCCTGTTCCCCTACTTCTTTTCCAACAATCAGAATTAAGCTTTAAATTTTTCTTACTCTCATGGGTGAGAAATGATGTCTTGTGTAATCGTAACTTTCCTTTTCCCAGTGACTAGTGAGATTGCCCGTCTTCTGAGGGTATTTGAATTTCTGTTATTTATTTATTTTTTGTTGTTGAGAATATACACGGTGCCACATCCCGATTCAGCAGTTTCTGCAGGTACAATTCGGTGACATTGGTGACATTCTCTGAGTTGTGCAACCATCTCACCCTCCTTTTCTGAGCTGTTCCTCCCCTATTGACATAAGCTCCCTAAGGTTCCTATCTAATCTTTCTGAGTTGCTGTTGTCAGTTTGCTCCCATAGAGATAGTTCCTAAAAGAACATAACACTTAGGGCAGACATTTTTACTAGTTAAGCTAAACTGTTGTTTGGTTTTAAGATGACTTTGGGTGATATTTTTAGTCTAAGGTTTAAAGATTCAGGGGTTTATTTGGATTTCTTTTGCTCTGAGTTGGCTCACCTCTGTCTTTGTCCTTATTTTCTCTTGAGTCATTTCTCTTTTTTCTTATAGACCAGTGGGCATTTTTAAACACATGGTATATTACTGTTTTTGTCTTTAGTTTGTGAATATCTTTTCCCAGGCTGTTTTCTTTCTTAATTTTGGTGTCTTTTGTCAAAAGTTTCTCGTTGGCATATAGTCTAAACTGTTTGGGTCTTAGAGTGTATGGTCTTATTTAATAATAAGCCACTGGGACATTGACAAGGGGCCTCTGTGCCTCGTCTTCCTCCTGTTCCTGTAGCTCCATGTGTCCTACCAGAAGTACTTTAAGCTGGAGCCCCTCCAGGCCTACCATCGGGTCATCAGCCTAGAGGACTTCATGGAGAAGCTGGCACCCACCCACTGGCCCCCTGAAAAACGAGTGGCATACTGCTTTGAGGTGGCAGCACAGCGGAGCCCTGATAAAAAGACTTGCCCCATGAAGGTGAGTCCTGTGAGGCTGGGAGACCCCATCAGCCCATTCCCTGTCTCCTAGGCCCCTGAGACACTGTGTGTGGACAATGTGGGGGAAGGCACCAGAAGGACTTAGAATAGAAAGAGGAGAGTTAAGCCCCACTTCTGGCATTGGCCACCTTAGGCAAATGACGTTGCTTCTCTGAGCTTTTATTTCTACCTACAAAATAGAGATGCCCATCCCTGCTCTGCCTCCTTCATAAGGTGTCCTGTGGACCAGATGTAAGAGTGCTTGTAAACAAACAATAAGTGCTACGTTAGTAATAGTACTACTAGCATAGCACTTACTTTGTGCCGGGTACCATGCAAGGAGCTTTTCACATATTAACTCGTTAAATCCTCAAAAACAACTCCACAAGGGAAGTACTATTAGTTCCCCCCATTTTATAGAGAGGAAGTTGAGTATGGCACAGAAAGGTTCAATGCCTTGCCCGAGGTCACATAGCAAATAAGTAGTGGAGCTGGGATTCACTCATAGGTAATTTGGCTCCATTCTCTTAATTTGTATACTTTCTTGCCTCTTAATAGGCAAATGAGGGGCTATCAGATTTTACTAGTAGATATTCTAAAGTTTCTACTACTTTGGGAATAAAACAATCCCCAAATAAGTCTTTTGATGCTTATGCTAAAGTCTGAGGAGGGTGGTCAGAAGAACTGTGAACTTTGTAAAAAGAGACCTGACTTACAGCTGCAACACTGGCCTTGCTTGCTGTGTAATCTGGGTAAGTGTCTTGCCCTTTCTGGGCTTGGTTTCCATCTTGAAAATGAGTGCATTGGATTAGCTGGTCTTGAAAGTCTGGAAGCTCCAGCCCTAGTCCTCAATCCAAGGTCCTCTTCCTCCCTAGACCCCCACAGATGCTGCTAGGTAGGCAGAATGTGGCATAGGAGGAGGAAAGCTCCTTCGGACACTACGGTGGACATCTTCCAGTCACCAGACTGGAGGCCCAGCTGCTCACCTTAGCCCCCAGTCAAGAGCTACAAAGTGACATTCCTACCAGCCCAACCAGTGAGGGCGTTTCACTCCGAGTCAGCTTACCCAGGGATCCCCCACTAGCAGTTCTCTGGTCCCGTCCCTGACAGCTTTCCCTCCCCAGCAATGAATCTTCTACTTCTCTTTTTCTGCAGGAAGGAAACCCCTTTGGCCCATTCTGGGACCAGTTTCATGTGAGTTTCAACAAGTCAGAACTTTTTGCAGGCATTTCCTTTAGTGCATCCTACAAGAACCAGTGGATCCAGAGGTACTTGGAAGGGGCAGCTTGCTGGGTTTGGGGGAAGGGCATGGGGCCCATAATTGGCCACCCATGGGCATTGAGCACCTCTGCTGGCCCTCACCCCTCTACCCCACCCTGATGTGTGAGACCGAAGGTGTGGCTGCTCTGTCTGTTGAACTTGGGATCTTGTGTGATCTGTCCCCATCTCAGCGCCTGACATGGTGGGATGTTGACCTGCCACAAGGTTGAGCAAGGGTTTATTGACTGATAAGGGATGTCATAAAAAGAACATTGTGCGGTCTCATGAGTCTCAGTTTCCTTCTCTAGGCGTGAGAATCACTCCCTTGTTACCTTCCTCTTCCCAAGGTGAAAACTGGAAGCAACTTGTAGAGAAGAAGAACTTCAGGTGCAGACTGAGAAATGATGTCATCTTGATAATTACTGGCTGTTCTTTATTAATTATGTTCCAGTAGGCCCTATTAAAGAAAAAATAGGTTAGCAGGTCACAGGCACAGACCACGAAATATTTATAGAGCGTCTGCCATGTATGAGACACAATATCCAAGGGCCAAAAGTGGTATAAAAATGAAGTAGACCCAGCCCCAGCCTTCAGGGAGCTACAGCCTGGTTATAATGGAGATAACTAAAATAGCGCACCTGACCTTGATGCTAGTGCATGACAGTAAAGAGCATGGATTTAGAAGTCAGACTTGGGGTCTAGGCAGCTCAAAAGCTGTGAGGAGCATGTGAATTCATACACGCTATGTATGTAACAAGGAGCTCTGGTGGCGTAGAGCCTAAGGCACTTGACTGCTAACCAGAAGGCTGGCGGTTCAAACCCACCAGCCACTCCTCAGAAGAAAGGTTGGGCAATCTACTTCCGTAGTGATACTGCCTCGGAAACCCAAGGAGGGGTCACTGTGAGTTGGGTCTGACTTGACAACACATAACAACAACAACAAGTATGTAACATAGCACTTGGCATTTCGTAAGCCAGAAAGAGACTCATGTAGAGAAATAAGTAGAGGTTCCCAGAATAAGACGGTCCTGAGCTCTGAGCCAGCACTGCCTCTTTCTAGCGGGGTGACCCTGTGCAAGCACCTCTAACTCTCTGACCTGAGTTTCTTCTGGTGTAATGCAAGGAGCACCAAAGGTAGCTGCCTCATAGGACATACGGTGTATAGCCGCAGTGAGTGGCCAACCAGTGTCAGCTATTGCTGTTATTATTCTCATGCTTTATTTTATTCAAGGCTTTGAAGAATTTAATGAAATGGGTATTATTAATTTCCCTTTTACAGGGGAGGAAACTAAGCTCAGTGAGGTTAAATAATTTACCCAAGATCATGTCAGTGTTGAGTGAGCAGCTGTGATCTCTATGTGAGTCTTTAATAAGACCAAAAAAAACAAACCCACTGCCCTGTAGTTGGGCCCGACTCATAGCGACTGCTCCTTGGATTTCTGGCAGTATCTCTATGGAAATAGGTTGCCCAAACTTCCTTCCGAGGAGTGGCTGGTGGGTTTGAACCACCAGCCTTCTGGTTAGCAGTCAAATGCCTTAGGTACTAGGCCACCAGAGCTCCTAATAAGAAGAACTAAGACTTATTTTTACTTCTGAAAATAAATTCCATTGAAAAACCGTATGGAACGTGGTTGTACTCTTAGCACACACAGGGTTGCCATGAGTTGGAGTTGATTCAGTGGCAATTGGGGAAAAAAAAATTTATTTAGTGCTCACCCTGTGCCAGACACCATTCTAAGCCTTTACCAGTATTAACCATTTAAACCTCCCACAAATCTGTGGCATAGGTATTACTGCCATTTGTATTTTACATATTAGGAAAAGGAAGAGGGGTGAAGTCACTTGGCCAGGGTCATGCAGCTTGAGGTGGCAGAGGCAGGGTTTGAATCCAAGCAGCCTGATTTCAGAGCACACTTTCCTAATCACCATGGAGAAAACAGCTGTGGCTCTAACAGTGTGGCTGGTTCCTGTTGGAGACTTGCCTTCAGAGCTAGCTGGTGAGCTACTGAGGATTCTCAGTCGAGGCAGATGCTAATCCCTCTCACTGTTGATCCCAAATAGGACACTCTCATTTGATCACCTACTGGGGTCTCCCATTCATCTCTGAGTGCCTTAGAGCTATTACTAAGAGACAGATCTGCCCTCAAAGAATGAGATTTGCCACTATTGCCGACATTTGCACCTATTGACGGTATGAAAAAAAAAAAATGCCACGAGCTATAAACATAGCTCCAGAAGCAAAGTTCTGAATGTTGGAAGATGCACACAGTCCTAGTCAGAAGGGAAAGGACAGTAAGGACAGTGCTGTGTGGATGCAGCCATTGGGAGACGTGGCTGAAACCCTTGTGCATTGCCCCATAGCCTTGTTTGAACTCAATGGAGTTGTAGAAATCACATGTGCTAGGGCTTGAGGGAGTTTGTGTCTTACAGCTGAGTGTTTGGGAAAGGGAAGGTGGACATTGTTTGAAAGAGTTAGGGCCAGCTGGGCAGCTATTGACTCCACACTGTCCTTTCTCTAACACATTGAAGAGCATCTCTGAAGTGTCAGGCACGGGGCTGGATGCTGGGGATTCAGGTAAGAATGAAGCAGATAAGGCCTCTGCCTTTATGGAGCTCATAGTCTGATGGAGGAGACAGTGAATAAACAGATGTATAAGACAGTTGCAGAATTACACGAGTGCTGTAAGGGATGTACACAGGTGACAGGCAACTGACAGTGCTGACACCAGAGGTAGGGCTGAAGGATGAGGAGGCAGCCCGGCAAGGAGCTGACGGAAGGAGTTTTTCACAGCAGAGACCAGCTTGTATGGGCAAGGACAGAGAGGAGGCCAGCGCGGCTGATGTGGCTGATGTGGTTGATCAAGGGGGAGAGTGGTAAGGAGTTCCTATTATTTATTGCCACGTAGTAAACCATTCCAAATCTTAGTGGCTCAGCAATCGTTTATTATTTCTCACAGTTCTGTGGTTTGACTGGGCTCAGGTGGGTGCAGTGAGCTGGGGCTAGAGTCGTCTGTAAACTTGGCTGGGTGCTTTTTTTCCCCAATTGTCTCTCACCGCCGGCAGGTGATGTTGGCTCTTGTCTGGGAGCTTGGCATGTGTACACCTGACCCCTCCATGTGGTTTGAGTTTCTTCTGACATGGCAGCTGTTCTCTGAGAGGGTGCGTCCAGAGAGTGAGTGTTCCAAGAGGACAGGAAGTAGGAGCTGCTGGTCCTTCACAGCCTGGGCCTGGGAACCAGTACAGTGCTGGTTCTGCCAGATGCTATTAGGAAGGGGCGTAGACCCCACTGAGTGGAAGGAAATTCAAAAAATCGGTGGCCATCTTGGATCTGCCAGGCAGGTGATGAGATTGGAGAGGTGAGCAGGGATTAAACCGTGCAGGGCTTTGTAGGCTGCAGTAAGATAATCTGACAAGCCTGTGAGTAGTTTATAGGGGTGAGTGTGAGGGGGTATGTATTTTAAATATTTTCTGTAATGGTTGGTGCTTGCTTGCTGAAGAAAGTTGTTCTTTCGGGGCAGGGTGTAGGGCAGAATGGAATGGAAAAGGGTGAAGCCCTTCTGTGGCTTCTGACATGATGAGGCAGATTGCCCCCTCTCTGTTCTCGCTGTTCGCTCTGTGAAATGAAGACAGCAAATAGGATCAGTGGTTTTCACACTGTTCTCAGCATCCTTGAGAAGTGTCTCTGGGCCTTCATGGGGGCAGGGATGGGGGTCAAATGGAAAGGCTCACTCCCCACGTCTCCCCCTCCTTCTACCAATAGCCCTTTTGTATATCAGGGTTTCGGGTAAGGTAAAAGAAGTTTGTAGACCACAGGTCTAGGTATATCAGGCTGAGATTTGGCTACCTGTAGCAGAAAAACCAAAATAACAGCAGATTAACAGCATAGAAATTTGTTGTCTAAGTAAAAGAAGTGCTGGGGTTTGTGGTCCAGGGATAAATGGCAGCTTCACAGTGTCGTCAGGCTTCTACTTTTTTGCTCAGCCGTCCCAGTACTGGCTTTTCTCCTCAGTGTCACCTCATAAACCCAGATGGCTGACGGAGTTCTGGCCACCATATAGTTAGTTCCCCAGACATTTGGAAGGGCAAAAGAGTGAAAGAAGGGTGCAGCCCTGCCTTTGTAAAGCACCTTCCCAGAATTCCCATATACCGCTTCTGTTTATATCCCATTGGCCATAACTAGCCGTTGGGAGCTCTGGTAGCATAGTGGCTAAGGCACTTGACTGCTAACCAGAAGGCTGGCGGTTCAAACCCACCAGCCACTCCTCGGAAGGAAGACTGGGCAATCTACTTCCATAGTGATACTGCCTCGGAAACCCAAGGAAGGGTTGCTATGAGTCAGGTCCGACTCCACATCACCTAACAACAACAACAACAGCCACAGGGAGTACGGAGAAGTATCTTTATTCTGAGCTGCTGTGTAGTCAGCTGAAAATCAGGTTCTGTGAGAAGATGGGGAGGAGTATTTCTTCACTCCTAAGTGATTTTTGAGGATCCTTCTAGCTCTGCTGGTTCTGAGTCTGTGAATACCCTGGTGGAGATTAATTCAACTGATGTTCATTGTATGTGTACTGTTGGAAGGCAGTAGACCATCATGTTGAACCATTCTTGTGACATGAAGGTGACAGCTACCTGAGCCCATCCACACATTATCGTTCTCCCAGCTTTTTGAGCTGTTCCTTGACTGGGGTGGGCGAGATGGGACTGAGGTGTAGTGGTTAAGAACATGTTCTGGAGAAAACTGCCTGGATTCAAATCCCAGCTCCCTCAGTTCCTAGCTGTGTGACTTTGGGCACACTTAACTTCTCTGTGCCTCAGTTTCCTCATCTATAAAATGAGAATAACAGTAATGCTTACCTCACAGGGCTCTGCTGAGACTCAAATGAGTGGATACACATAAAGCAATTGGAACATTTCCAATAAGGCTCAGTGAGATTCCCATATATGTACACGTAATGTATATGTAGATGTAAACACACAATTGGAGTCTAACAAGACACATGTTACATAGAGCCAGGCCATCGATGAACTCCTGCTTGTCATTTCCGTGGCACAGGCTCTGGACCTGTGTGTGTGTGTGTGTAATGGGGAATGAGAACACTCCGTCCCAATTTCACGGGGCTACCAAACAGGGAACAATATATTGAGCATATTGTTTGCAGAGGGTGATGCAGGAGAGGTGGGCCAGGGAGCCCTCCCCAGATGCCCAAGGCTTGGGAGTGGTGGCTGGTCTTAGAGGTTCAGAGGGAGTTTGCTGAGCAAGACGTTTGGAGGGGGTGTGGGAATGAGTGGCGTGTCCATTGCAGCGCTGTGGCGTGAGTGAAAGATCTCAACAACCTTATTGTTCACTAGAAGGAGAATAAAGCAGTCGGTTGTGGTTTATTACACAAAATGGAAAACGGAAAGAGAAGCTGACGTGATTGCATGATCCACGTAGTCAACATAAAGTTAAATTGAAAAAAAAAGTTGAGCTAGGTTACGTGCAACATGATGTTAATAGTCAGGATTTTCTGAGCTCTTTCTTTGTGTCAAGCAGTGCTCTAAGTGTTTTCTTTGTGGTAACCTATTTAATCATCTGAACAGCCCTGTGAAGTAGGAAACGTTACCAGCTCTGTTATACAGAGGAAACCAAGGCACAGGATGGTTACATCACCTCCCCAGTTAGTAAGTGGCCTGGTCAGCATTAGAACAGGCAGTTTGGCTTGACACTGAACTAGTACACTGTGTAAAAAGTTTTTTGATTTTTTAAAATACATGCATAAAAACACACGGGAAGGAGAAAAAGAGAAGGGGAAGAGATGGCAGGATTGAGCCTTATTAAGATATGTATCTTAAAAAAAAAGTGAAGCCAAGTATTACTATCTGCTATTTTGGTTCACAGGTATGTGAATCATTATTTTTTTATAGTTTGACACATTTCATAGTTTTTAATTGAAATTATTATTGAGGTTGTTGTAGCTGCACATGCAATTTGTAAGAAATAATACAGAGAGTTCCTGTGTGTCTTTTACCCAGTTTCCCCACATGGTCACATTCTGTAAACCACAGTACAGTATCAGAGCCAGAATATGGACATTAATACAGTTCATTTGTCTTACTCAGGTTCCTCCAGTTTTACTTGTTCTTATCTCTCTGTGTGTGTATGTATTTCTATATCATTTTATCACATGTATAGATATATGTATTCACCACAGGCAAGGTACTGAACACTTCATCACCACAAGGAATCCTGTATTGCCTCCCTGCACATCCTCCTCCTCATCCCTAAATCCTACCAACCACAAATCTGTTCTCCATTCCTGTTACAGAGAAATGTGTAACTTTTTAGCTTTGTTCCTTTGCAATCCATCCAGGTTGTTGCATGCATAAATATTTCATTCCTTTTTATTGCTGAGTAGTATTCCGCAGTATGACTGTACCACAGTTTAACTCTTTACTTGTGGAAGGATATGTGGGCTGTTTCCAGTTTCTTAGTATTACAAATAAAACTGCTATGAGCATCCATACACAGGTTTTCTGTGTGTGAACATAATTTTTCATTTCTCTGGGATAAATGAATGCAATGGTTAGGTCATATTGCAAGCACAGGTGTAGTTTTATAAGGAAGTACCACACTTTCTCCAGAGTGGCTCTACATATTTCATAATACTAAGAAAAGGATTTTGCCTGGCAGGGGGAAGGCATTCTAGGTCAAGGGGAAGAAGTTTACAGAGACCTGGGGTTTGAAAGTGCACTGCAAGTCATGGAGTGGCGAGTTGTTATGTGTTGCTAGGTATAGGCTGGGTTTAGGGAGCACAGGTTTGCTTCTCATTTAGTCAGGCAGCACTTACTTGTTGAGCTCTTCCATGTGCCAGATACTGTTCTCAACCCACTGAGGCCATTGCCTTCAGAGGCCTGAGCCCAACAGGAAAGACAGACATGAAATAATTACAGAAGTGCAGAATATGCCAAGGGGGAAGGAGAGTCCCTGGGAGGATATGATTAGGGGGTCGCCGACGTCTCATTCATCCCATGAGAGCACGGGCCATGCTTGGCTTATTCTCCCCTAGGTCCCAGCACACAGTAGGCAGTCAGTGACTGTGGGCTGAATGTGAAGTGGGTGATGTGGAAACATTCCATGTGAGCATGCCCCATCCATCACCCTCTGTAAGCAGCTACACATGCCAACCCCGCCATGTGGGTAAAAGGGCAAAAGCTTGTCCAGACACCCCACCCTGGAGTGAATTACCACCCACAGATTAGAAGCCAGCATGACATACAAAAGGTTGGAATGCTCTACTGTAAATTTTTAATTGTTAGACAAGCAAAGAGAGTTATAAATTCCATGTGGCGGGACAGGATTGCATATTATGCCTGTCGCCGCAGCCGCCAAGGTTTCTTATCAGCCCGTTGGGATTTCACAATCTCTTGTGCCTCTTGCATGTTACAGGGGCCTCTCTGCACGGTCTCTGGGGCATGGTGCAACACCATCCATTTCCCAGGGGGTAGGGGCAGCCAGGCTCTGTGCATCCTCCCTCTGACTTCCCCTTACTCCATCTCATGCCTAGATTTTCCCCAGAGGAACATCCGGTGCTTGCCCTGCCCGGAGCCCCGGCCCAGTTCCCTGTCCTGGAGGAACATAGACCGCTTCAGAAGTACATGGTGTGGTCAGATGAGATGGTGAGAACAGGAGAGGCCCAGATCCACACCCACCTCGTCCGGCCCTATGTGGGCATTCACCTGCGCATCGGCTCTGACTGGGTAATGCCCCCTCCTCTCACGGGCTGACTGAGACATATCCCTGAGCAGGGCCCAGGCCAGAGGGCATTGGAAACTGCACCAGAGAGAATTCTCTCTCAGACAAGTCCACGGGACCAAGTCCCATGATCCACCGCAGCATGTGCCAGAAGTGTGACCCCACAGTGCTTGTTTGCCAGCTCTTATTTTAACAGTTGCCATTTTTTATTCTCATTTTGCAAACGGATAAACTCAGGTTTACAGCTAGACCCCAGGTCAGGCAGCATAGCCAGGGAGAGAGCTGCAGTCCAGGAGACTTGGGCCCTAGCTCAGTGTTTAGCCAACAGATTCCTTGTTGAAAGACAAGCTATTGGAGATTGGGTGGAACACCTAAAAAATGAAGATGTCATCGGCCCAGAATTTGGAGGCTGTTTAAATGTGCAGGAATCTTACCAGATTCTCCTCCTTGTAAAAATGAGCAGGACTAATACAGACAGTCTCCTGAATTTATAAAAAGAAGATTGTATGTGTATTAGAAATGCTCGTTGTTGAAAACTTGGAAAACTACAGAAATGAGATTAAAATGCACCCATAGTCAATTGAAAAGGCAATCACACATCTATTCACAAGACTCCCTCTCTGCCCTCCAGTTTATTTTATGGGTGGTTTCCGCCAGACCTTCAAGGAACAAATAATTCCCATCTGTACTTTCGTAGAACATAAAAAGATACAGGATGCTAACCATTTTATGTATATATAGCTTTACATAAATACTAAGCTCAGGTAAGGTCAACTCAGAAAATTACCACCTATGCTCACTTATAAACGTAGGCATATAGACCCTAAGTAAAATATTAGCACGTAAAATTCAATAGTGTGTTAAAAAACATACAACACGAGCAAGCAAAATTTATCTCAGGAATGCAATGAAATTTACTATTAACACCCAAAGAAGAAAAATCATATGATCGTTTCAGTAGAGGCCAAGAAAGCATTTGATAAAAGTCAACACCCATTCATGATACCAACTTGTAACTAACCAGAAATAGAAAGGACCCACCTTAACTTGATAAAGGCTATCTCTCTGAAACCCACAGCAAACATCATACTTCATGGAGCACTATCAGAAGCCTTCCCACTAAAGTCAGCAATCAGATAAAGCTGTCCATGGTAACCACCACTGTTCACAATTCTCCTGGAAGTCCCAGATAATACAGTTTGCCTGAGAAAAATTTTATAAAGAAAACAATATCCCATCTTTGGAAACCATATATCTGAGAAAAATCTAATAACCCAGACATATATAAAACTTTGACAGCAACAAAAAGACAACCTGATCATGGAGTGGGCAAAGGCTTTGAATAGACATTTCTCCAAAGATGACATTCAGATGGCCACCGGACACAGGAGAGGATGCTCAGCATCATTAGCCATCAGAGAGACACAAGTCAAAGCTATGGTGAGATAGCATTTCATTCCCACTAGGATGGCTAAAGGAGCTCTAGTGGCATAGTGCCTAAGGCATTTGACTGCTAACCAGAAGGCTGGTGGTTCAAATCCACCAGCCACTCAGAAGGAAGACTGGGCAATCTAGTTCCATAGCAATACCACCTTGGAAACCCAAGGAGGGGTCCCTATGAGTCAGAACCGACTTGACGGCAGTGAGTTTTTTTCTTTTTTTCCTTTTTTCTTTGGTTATTGTTGTTATGTGCCATTGAGTCGCACCCGACTCATAGCAACCCCTCCTTGGTTTCCGAGGCGGTATCACTACGGAAGTAAATTGCCCCATCTTCCTTCCGGATCCTAGGTATTAGTAACCTGAAATGGACTGGTATTGGCTATTTGGAATCATACTGTCATTTGGTCTACTATACCAGGAAAGACAAATGGAAAAGGAATGGTGTCACATTCATCATCAAAAAGTACATTTCAAGATCTATCCTGAAGTACAATGCTATCAGTGACAGGAAAATATCCATACTTCTACAAGTAAGACAAGTTAATATTACTATTATTGAAATTTATGTACCAACCAATAAAGCCAGAGATGAAGAAACTGAAGATTTTTATCAACTTCTGCCGTCTGAAATTGACCAAACATGCAATCAAAATGCGTTGATAATTACTGGTGATTGGAATGTGAAAGTTGGAAACAAAGAAGTATCAGTAGGTGGAAAATATGGCTTAGGTGATAGAATTGGTGCTAGAGATCATCTGATAGAATTTTGCAACACCAACGGCTTACTCATTGCAAATACCTTTTTTTCAACAACATAAACAGCAACTATACACATGGACCATGCCAGATGGAATCCACAGGAATCAAATGGACCACATCTGTGGAAAAAGATGATGGAAAAACTATCATCAGTAAGAACAAGGCCAGGAGCTAACTGTGGAACAGACCATCAATTGCTCACATGCAAATTTAAGTTGAAGATGAAACAAAACAAAAAATGCCATCAAGTTGCATCCGACTCATAGTGACCCCTCTTTGGGTTTCTGAGGCAGTATCACTACAGAAGTAGATTGCCCAACCTTTCTTCCGAGGAGTGGCTGTTGGGTTTGAACGGCCAGCCAGCCTCTCATTAGCAGTCAAATGCCTTAGGCATTAGCTACCAGAGCTCCTGAAGCTGAAGAAAATGAAAACAAATCCACGAGAGCCAAAACACAGCCTTGAGTTTATGACCTGAATTTAGACACCATCTGAAGAATAGATTTGATGCATTGAACACCAGTAACTGAAGACCAAAGGAGTTGTGGGATGACACAGGTCATTAAAAAGATAGGAAAGAAAGAGCAGACCAAAATGGATGTCAGAAGAGACTCTGAAACTTACTCCTGAATGGAGAGTAGCTAAAGCAAATGGGAAAAAAATATGAAATGAAAGAGTTGAGCAGATTAGTATCTTGCATCCACTAAACATTTGAGTTTGGTTTATTTTTTTGAGGATGGCTAAGATTAAAATAATAACATATTTGTGAGAAATTGGAACCCATATCATTGCTGATGGGAATGCAAAATGGTAAAGCTGCTGTGGAAACAGTGTGGCAGTTTCTCAAAAAACTAGAACCAGAACTACCAATGACCCAAGCAATTCTACTCCTAGTTATATACCCAAAAGAGTTGAAAAGAGAGACTAGCAAAAGACTTGTACACCGTGATCATTGCAGCACTATTCACAATAGCCAAAAATTGGAACAACCTAAATGCCCATCGGCAGATGAATGGATAAACAAATTGTGCAAACGTACAATGGAATACTACTCAGCCTGTAAGAGAAATGAAGAGTTGATACACGCTACAGTACGGATGGTGCTTAAAGGCATTGTGCTGAGTGAAATAAGGCAGTCATAAAATTGGTGAATATTGCATGACCTCACTTACATAGAAAGACAAGAAACGGCAAATATATGGAGATCGAAGTTGATTAGTGGTTACCGGAGGCAGGAGGGAGGGAGAAAAGGAGGGTTAACGGTGATGAGAAGAGAGCATTGATTACGGGTTGGATTGCACAGCCCATTATTATAATTGCTGTCAGTAAGTTGCACACCTGTAAAAAATTGAATTAACAAAAGTTGTGTGATAGATGCGTTTACAACACTGACAGAAGAAGAAAAAAAAGGAGCTGCTAAGTCTGCTCCTTTACAACCAAACACCTTATGGGATTGGTTTGCAGGTTTAGGGTCATGGTTTCATGGGACATGCCAGTTGGCCTAACAACATGCTTACTGCTACTCTTTTACCTCCTAGTTCCTTGTGTAGTACCTGAGGTCTTAAAAGCTTGTCAGTGCTAGCCAAGGCACAGTCATTACTCTCTATTCACCTGAGACGACAGAGCAAGAAGTCGGGAACAGGAGGAGAATATGAAATGTGTGGCTAATCGCCTCTGTGAACAACTTCTTCCTTTGCCGTGAGACCAGAAGAACTGGATGATGCCTGAGTAGCATGACTCAGCATTTTTATCAAAGATCCCACAGAAGAGTCTTGAACAAAAGGGGGAAGATGCAGAACAGAATTTCAAATACTCATGGACACTACCCTTCCTGGAACCATGGAGGGTAAATGAATACCTGAAACTGTTGCCTTGAGATAATTTTAAAGCTTAAACCAAAAATATCCCCTGAAGTTTTCTTAAAACTGAACAATAAAAAACCATAAAACCAAACTCACTGCCATCGAGTCTATCCGACTCATAACGACCCCTCCTTGGGTTTCCAAGGCAATGTCACTACAGAAGTAGATTGCCCAGCCTTCCTTCCCAGGAGTGGGTTTGAACCACCAGCTTTCTGGTTAGCAGTCAAATGCCTTAGGCACTATACCACCAGAGCTCCTAAAACTGAACAATAGTTTAGGTTAACTAGTAAAAAAAAGTGCATTATGGTGTTTTAAGAACTATCTAAAGGGGTCAAATTGACAACTCACCAGCAACCCAACAACTTTTTTTATACAAGATTAGATGGGAACCTTGGGGAGCAGTGAGTTTATGTTAATGAGGGAGGAACAACTCAGAAAAGGAGGGGATTATTCACACAAAGAATGTAATCAATGTCACTAAATTGTAGAAACTGTTGACTTGGTGTCTGTTATGCTGTATATAGTTGCAACAACAAAATAAGTTAAATTTAAAGAAAAAAAGGCAAAAATCAGTATCCCACCACCCAGAAATAATCACTGTTACTATTTTGGTGCATTTCCTCCTCTCCCCTTAATACTTAAAAAAAGAAAAAAATACTGGCTGAGTGCCTCCTGTATAGCCTGCCTTTTCTGCTTAATCAGTTCTTGCTCCTGGGGTTCCAGGAGTGGTTGCTTGTCTGTAACTGTGTGCCCATCCCTGGCCCCCCATAGAAGAATGCCTGCACCATGCTGAAGGACGGGACTGCGGGCTCCCACTTCATGGCCTCACCGCAGTGTGTGGGCTACAGCCGCAGTGCAGCTGCCCCGCTCACCATGACAATGTGCCTCCCTGACCTAAAGGAAATCCGGCGGGCTGTGAAGCTCTGGGTGAGGGCGCTGAAGGCCAAGTCAGTCTACATCGCCACGGATTCTGAGAGCTATGTGCCTGAAATCCAGCAGCTCTTCACAGGGAAGGTATGCTGAGAGTGGCACGTGGAGTGCTAGGTGGGTTTGCAGTGGGAGGGGGATCCAAGAAAACACCTGGATGTCCCCACTGCTCCCACTACGTGCTTCATGCTATCCCAGCTCCAGGCTTTTGCCTGGGCCATTTCCTCTGCTTGGACAGCCACTCCCTCTCTAATTCTTACCCTCCTTTCAGACCCCACTGCAGATCTCCCTTCTCCCTCCACTCCTGAATGAGTGTCTGTGCTGAGAGCGCTCATGGACTGTAGCAGCATGTCTTATTTCTTCCTAGGAGTTATGAGCTCTTTGAAGGCAAGATTTTCAAGGGTGAATCACTGTTAAATTCCTTGGCATCTAGCCTGAGTACTTTGACCTCCTTAGGGGCAAACTCCCACCCTACCATCACCAGTGTCAGGACGGTACCTAACACATAGTAAGTGCTCAGTAAATGTTTGGTGAAGAAGCACATAACATGTGGGCCCTTAGAAGAGATCCAGCATAGTAGAAGGTGAAGAGATGGACTCCAGAGCCAGAGACCAGGGGCTCTGTCACTGTGCTACCCTGCACAGATTACTTCACTTCTCGTGCTCTGGTTCCTCAATGTAAAACAGGACTAACAATGTAGTACATGTCTTATAGCATGGTTATAAAGATCAGGGGTAAAGCAGTTAAAACAGTTTGTGGTACATAGTAAGTGTTCGCTAAAGTTAGTTATCATCAGTAAAAGAAATAAGTGCTTAAAGAATAAAGAGAAGGCACTCTTGTGCTTAGTAAATACTTAAAAACCAAAAAAACTAAACCCACTGCCATCAAGTTGATTCTGATTCATAACGACCCCATTGGGTTTCTGAGACAGTAAATCTTTATGGAAGTAGGTTGCCCTGCCTGTCTTCTGCGGAGCAGCTGGTGGGTTTGAAGCGCCAGCCTTCTGATGCCTTAGGCACTATGCCACCAGAGCTCCTTAGTAAATGCTTAAAACCAAAACCAAACTCACTGCCGTCAAGTCAGATCTGACTCCTAGCGACGCCTCCTTGGGTTTCTGAGGCAGTATCAATACGGAAGGAGATTGCCCAGCCTTCCTTCTGAGGAGTGGCTGGTGAGTTTGAACCGGCAGCCCTCTGGTTAGCAGTCAAATGTCTTAGGCACTACGCCATCAGAGCTCCCAGTAAATGCTTAAGGCAACTGTAAATAACAAATGTTCAGTCCATGAATGGATAGTAGACCGTGCTTGGTAAGTGGTTATCAGTGAAGAGTGGGTAATAAGTATGTATGCATAAACTGACTGACTTAATCATCATCATCAATAAAACTCTGTTGAGTGGGGGAAGGCCCTCCATGCACCCAGTAGACCTTAAAAGACTGACAACTGCTTCCCAGCAGTGAGTACCCTTGGGTTTCTATCAAGAGGCTCCCTTTTTCTTGCCCCAATTTATAGAGAAAGTGCTGGGTCAGTGCATTCTGGTCTCCCACCCCCTATTTTCTAGATAGAACATCAGAGCTGGGAGAGGTCCTCTAACCCCACCCCTGCATTTTATAGCTGAGGAACCCAAAGCCCCAAGAAGGGACAGAATTTACCCAAAAGGTTCCAGAGCTAAATATAGTGTGTATGACACAGAGGGGGTAAGTTTCAGAGTGTGGGTGGAGTTGTTTGGGGGATTTTGGCCAGGCCTGCGCCGGTCTGTCTCTCTGCTACGATCTAAATGACATGGGTGCTTTGTTCTATCAGAAATCTCTGTATGACAGCAAAGCTCTTTCAGCCCCAGCTCTGCCCACACCCCCCACGTCTGTACTAAGGTAAGGCATTTGGAGAGTCCCAGGGAGTTTTGGGTTTTTTTTTGGTAAGTTTATGGAATTGATGCGCTTGTGACACTTTAAGCCACTTAACTGTTCTCTATTTCCTGTTCCCGTGCCACTGTTCTCACCCTTGCTCCTCCGTGAAGCTGGGCTGGTGCTGAGCCGGAGCTACTGATAACTACTCCTTTGCAGGGTATCTGGGGATGGAGTGGGCTGGACTTTCGTCTTGGAGGTGGGGTGTGTGGGAGAGGAAGGAGCATCCAGGCTGCAGAACTGGATAAGTAGGGGACTGTTGAGTCAACACAAGCTTGATGGGGGGAGCCCATCAAGCTAAGACTATGAGAAAGATAGACTGTGAACTGAGCCTTGAGAGTAGGATCAAGACTTTAATGGATGGGTGTTTGGTTACTTCATGCTGCTGTAACAGAGAATACCACAAATGGGTGGTTTTTAACAAGCAGGAGTTTTTAACAAACTCTTACAGTTTAGGAGGCTAGAAGTCCGAGTTCAAAATACCAGCTCTAGGGGCTGGGTGAAAGCCACTTGACCTTGGGCTTCAGCTCTGCATCTTGTTCTTGGCCCACTGAAGCTGAAGGCTTTCTTCACTCAGGCAGCTGCTGGCTGCTAAGGCTGACAAACCCAAGATCAACAAGTAAAAAGGCACAGCCCCAGTATTAACCAAACCACATAGCAGGCCATTGATTCAAGTGCATTAAGAGTCCCGAGATCAGCAGACCACATGGCAAGCTGCTGCATAACAACTCGGCTACATGCAGGATTCAAGTGTGCCGTTCCTAAAGCTTCTTAACAATACCAGGAGCAGACTATATCCCTAAGGCAGCTACTCAGCTGCTCACAGTAGATTCCACCGTGGAGCTGATTACCAGTCTCATCACGGGGACTACTACATCCAGCTGCACAGCTACTCAACCAGGCCCAGCCAAGTTGACACGTAACCTTAACAACCACAGTGGGGAAAGGCATTCCAGGCAGAGGGAACAGCCCAAGCAAAGACACAAATGTGAATGAGTGATGCATTTGCAGCTGAGACTAGAGGTGGGGAAAAGGTGCTGGGGGCAAGGTGTTCTACATGGGTATGGGCAGCAGGTGGGAAACACCTCTCAGACACCCGGCTCGACATCTTCACCCCCTCTGATCGTCTTTCTGTGTCTGTAATGTCAGCTCAAGGGAAGAAGGTTGGGGCTATGGTGAAGTTGCTGAGCCGATCACCATGACTGCCGGCCACCTTGGCTGATCCACTCACTCTGCCTTTCCTTCTGTAGGTGAAGGTGGTGAGCCTGAAGCCTGAGGTGGCCCAGATTGACCTGTACATCCTTGGCCAAGCCGACCACTTCATTGGCAACTGTGTCTCCTCCTTCACTGCTTTCGTGAAACGGGAGCGGGACCTTCGGGGGAAGCCATCTTCTTTCTTTGGCATGGACAGGCCCCCTCAGCTGCGAGACGAGTTCTGATCCAGTCTGGAACCCATCAGCAGTCGGAGCTAGGCCCTCCAGCCAGGCCTGGCAGCCAGAGGTGCTCCCAGGATTGATCCCCCAGGGTGCAAGCTCCTCTGCTTGCTTGCCAGACATCGAGTACCAGGAACTTCCTAGAGAGGGAAGAGGGCCCGTCTCCCAGGACACAGGACTTGTAAGCTGCTGGGAACGGGTCTCTCCCTCCCTGTGTACTTCCTGCTGTCTCTCTGGGAATTCTCACGTCAGCAGAGCAGTCCGACTGTCTTGGTCTGCGCTGCTCTGAGCAGCTTGGAATGACGAACTCTCTTCAGAGAGATTTTTACATATAGAGATTTTTATAGTTTCCATACAAGATCATGACTACTCTATAACTCCCTCATTTTTAAAAAAAATCAGTGAAGTCCACTAGCATAGGTACCTAAAGTGACCTTGACTGTATATGGATGAGGCCAGAAGTGGGTGTATTGACTGCTCTTCTAGATGACCCCCACAGTGGCCTTCAGACCTGTCCCCACTGCCTGAGCAGAGCCATTGTCATTGCCTCTTTCCTAGGCCATTTCTGGGGCTTGGGCATGAATGCCCTTCTCCATTGTAAACACTATGCAAATGTATTTTATGAGCCCTGGTGCTGTGAAGTGCTCTGCAGACAGCCCGGTGCTGTTCACGCAGCACGCATGCACGTTCTGGCAGGGAGCACATGACTTCATGCCGGATGATCAAGGCCTTGCCATCAGTCAAAGCCTTTTTGTGGTTGATGGCCTGCTGCAAGCCTGACACCATCAGGGGTCTCAGAATGCAATATTGGGAACCAGGGCTTGCTGGGCTGGTAGACTCCTTCTGAAGACTGCCCACTCGCCTTCTGATCTCCTGCCCCAAGAGACCTAGTTGGTAGAATTTAGCTGTTAGGTTGATATCCACAGCCTGTTCCCTCCTGCAACAGAAGTCCTCAGACCATGTTCTTACGAGGGAGTGTGACCTGAGCCTGTGACCAGATAGAACATGTCCAGGAGCCATTGGAATTACCAGTTTGGACAGTTTTGCCACTTCCCATCTATCTGCCAACCCCATGAGGTTTTAGACACTGTTGTTATGTGCTGTCAAGTCAGACCTGACTCATAGCGACCCCTCCTTGGGTTTCCAAGGCAGTATCACTACAGAAGTAGATTACCCCATCTTCCTTCCGAGGACACTACAAGCCCTAAATTTGTCTCGGATGCTGCAGTGACCTTAGTGCTTTTCAGCTCTCTGGTACCTTTCCTCATCTATTATCTGCTGATCTCCTCTAACCTCCCTCAGCCTTCAATCCTGGAATGGTAGAGGTGGCTCCAAAGGCGAGCCACGCCCATAGCCCCTGTGCACACTGGCTCAGGGCTCAGAGGTTTCAGGGTGATGGGAGACTCAAATACCAGAGGGGGCATTTGCTGCTTAGAACTACTGCCCAACTCTAGGTTTCTTTAGGGAGAGACTACAGAAAGTGCTTTGAATGCTCTCCTCTTGGGCAAAGAGTGTTTTCAATGCTGGGGGGTGGCCTGAGGGCTGGCATACCTGTCCAGACTTGCTCATAAGCCCCGTTCAGAGAAACATGCCTAGGCATGGGAGCCAGGGCGCCCCTGCTTCCATGGGGAGTGGGGAGTGGACTCGCTAATTGACTCTATCGGCCATCGGCTCGTACTAGGCCATGCTTTAGAGGGTGGAGCTCTGAGGCCGTCCTGTTCATCCTGATTAGCATCAGCAGTGTTTCTAGAGGAAAGGGCACCAGACTCTTAGCCAGCTTCAGTCGTGGTCTGTGGACATGTACTTTACCCAGTTTCCTCATGTATAAAATGGTGATAAAACTGATAGGGCTGTTGAAAGGCTTAACTCAGATAAAGGCCATATATAAAAAGCATTGTAAACTTGAGAGAAACAAAGGCGATGGAATTTGACTGCCTCTTGGTACATACCTACTCTGTGCCAGGCATTGTGCTTGCTGAGTGCTCATGGGCATGGTCTTGTCTTTCTCCACCCAAGCCCTGGGACATAGGAACTGTGAGTCTCCTTCTCTTTCTACACAGGGAATAATTAGTGCTCAGAAATTCCCCATAATTTGTCCCAGGCCACGTAGCTGGTGGTGGTTAGCCAGGATTTGACATTCCAAAGCCAGTACTCTTAGCCCCCATGCTTTCCTGCCTCCACTTCACAGAATGCATTTTATTGATACCGTGTATACTGGGGAGGACTTAGATGGAAAAATGACTAGCCACTTGAGTTTCCATTGGGCACTGGCTATGGATGGGCCTTCCACTGCCTGGGGGGGGGGGACAGTCCTCCAAGAAATAAAGCCCACATGAAGCTTACGGTTTCCAGGGATAGTTACTTAGTTCAACAATCTTTAACTCAACAGGTATTTACTGACCACCTACTATGTGTCAGGCTCTAGGCTAGGTACTGTGGATACAGCTGAGAACAACACAAAGTCTTTGCTCTTGAGGAATTGGCATTCTAATCAGTGGAAAACATAATAAATAAATGTGCCATGGGAGGTGGTGACAAGTGCTATGAAGAAGAATAAAGGATATGGGAGGGACCAAACCAAATCAACTGCCGTCGAGTTGATTCTGACTCATAGCAACCCCCATTGGGTTTCCAAGGCAGTAAATCTGCGGAAGTAGATTGCTTCACCTTCCTCCCGTGCAACAGCTGGTGGGTTTGAACCACCAACATTCTGGCTAGCAGTCAAATGCCTCAGGCAGTGCACCACCAGAGCTGCTCACGAGAGGGACGGTGGTGCTGTTTTAGATAAGGAGCTCAAGTCAGGCCTCTGAGGAACTGCTCTTGAGGAAGGAGAGCACCCATCCATACATCTGGAGGCAGAGGACACAGCAGTGCGAAGGCCCTGGAGCTGGAAAGTGTGTGTGGAGAGTAGCAAGGAGGCCCGCATGGCTGGAGTGATGGCCACGGCCAGGAATAGAGTGGCAGCACCGGGCAAGCCTGTCCTCACGAGCTTCTGTTCAGAGTTTGGGGAAGCCTTTGTCAGGTTTCGAGTCCAGGAGGGTCGTGACCTGCTTGGCATTTTTGAAGGACATAGGTTGCCACATGGAGACGAGGCAGGAGAGAGGTAGGGGCACAGCAGGGAGATAAGTCGGCTGTGACAGGGATGCGGATGAGAGTCTGGGTTATCTAAGACTATTTAGATTTCAGTCCTAAGTCTTTGTATCATTTTAATCATGCAGCATTTACAACTTACGGTCCTGTTTTTCCACTTAATAGTATATCATAATATATTTTTCATGTTAGTAAATCGCTTTTATAAGCATTTTTAATGATATAAAATTCCATTAAGGGATGTCCCATAGTTTATCCATTTTGTATTACAATCTAGTGTGTTCCCAGTTTTTTACTATTACAACTATTAGGAAAAAAATATTTTTATTTGTGAGGATTTTTCTGCATCTAAAATTTTCATGAAGATAAATTTCCAGAAATGGATTTGTTGGATCAAAGACTTAAACATTTTTCTTATGGAAAAATTCAAATATACTTCAAACTGTGAGTAATAAAATGAACTCTCAGTTACAGTTGTCAACATTTTGCCTTCTTATTTTATCTGCCCTCCCATTCCCAAGCCTGTGTATTTGTTTGTTAGTGTTGTTTTAAAGAAAATCTGAATATGTTTTGAAGGAAGAGCCACCAGGATTTGCTGACAGACTGGACGTGAGAAGAAAAGAGGAGCCCAGGATGCTCCAAGGTCCAAGGTCCAAGCGTCATGGAGAATGGAGTTGTCTTTGACTTGCACAGTGACCTTGCAGATCATCTCACCTCTCTACGCCCCCCCCGAGTTACAATTGCTAATAGTCCACGGAGTGTTTCTCAGAGTGCAGTCTTGAGGTTCCTTGAGATGCTGGTGAGTAAGATTCAAGACCTAAGGGAATGGAATGTGTGCTGGGTGGTACCCAGGAATCTGCATTTTCACAAGCACCTGCACGTGATTTTGATGTCCCGTAGTCCAAAGTTTGCTTAAATGATAGTATGCAGACTAGCAGCAAAGGCATCACCTTGCTAGAAATGCAGACTCTTAGGCCTCACTCTAGACCTACTAAATCAAAATTTCTGGGGATGGGGCCCAGGAATTGGTTTCCATAAACTCTTCAGGAGCTAAAATTTGAGAAGCACTGGTCCGAAGGATGTGGAGATCCAGCACTGTGGTCAGCCTGTTAGTGCTCACAGAGGCCGTTTGTCTGCAGGCCCTTCCTAGGCAAGCTGTGAGGAGGCGGTGGGGTCATGACAACCCTGCCTTGAAGGGTCCACCAAGCTTGCTCACCTAAGTGCATTTAGGAGGTGCCCAGGGCCCAATTGGTATTATCACATTGATTTATTTCTCTTAATGTTTATTGGGGGAGAAATAACTAGATTATCAACCTTGGATTTAATGTGCTCCATTGTTTTTACATCAGGCCACAATTATGTAAGTAAAACAAAGATATTAAATAAAAGAAAAATATAAGTAAATTATGGTAGAGAGGGGTTGTGGATTAGGCAGAAATGGCAAAGCTTTTGTTCAAAGAAACCCAAACTGGGAGACACTGGCCTGGTACATCACGGATCCTCCAGAAATAGGCAGGGAGAGGGGAGGATGAAAGTGAGCAAGGAAAGAAAGGCGAGAGGGCAGAGGAAGGGAGAGAGAAAGAGCTGGCTTCTTACTTCCATTTTATGTTTGCTATAAAAGAGGTTTAAACCACACTCACTGCCATCAAGTTGATTCCAACTCATAGCAACCCACGTTGGGTTTCCAAGGCTCTAAGTCTTTATGGAATAGATCGCCCCGTCTTCCTTCCACGGAGCGGCTTCCACTGCAGCACCAGAGCTCCTTACAAAAGAAGCTCAGTAATAATAATAAGCTTATTTTCACTGATCTGAAAATAAAGATCCCTTTCTTTCCTCAATTCTTTATCTTAAGTGAAGTTGACAGAAAACCACAGCCTGAAGGCAAATTCCCCACTCTGGATTATGTTGTCAGAATTCATTCAGATTCTAGCGTGAAACCTGGTTTGTTTCAAGGTTGGGACCTTTCTCTTTAAATGCCATTATTGAAGAGCAAGCAGATTTGGTTTGTTTTCACATCTGTTCCTTTATTGATCATCA